AATCAACATTCCCAAAATAAACTTACTGTCCATCCTTCTTAAATATTCTCCTATAATGAGCTCTCTCTTCAAAAACTGGACCATACAGTGTTCTACAAGAAAGAGAGGACTTGTCCTTGACACTTTCATGTTCTGCCAAATCATGTCAAGAACCCAGCTTTTACTCTTAGATCTTAAATGCCTCTTTACCTACTTCTCCCATACCTCCTCCTGCTACTACTACTATTACTACAATAAGCAGGCATCACGCGGAATCCATGGACTGCTGGTCCAGCCCCCTCCCAGCACCATAAGCACAGAAGCTCCTTTTCAGGGCATTTTCCACCCAGTATCCACAGTGATCGTTCCATAACACAGATATAAATACGTTTCTTCTACTTTTAAACCTATTCAGTGGCTTCCTACTTTTTTAATCCATTCAGTGATTCTTATTAATTTAGTCATCCATAAAAAAATAGCATGACACATCAAACTCATATCCAAAACAAATGTAGAAATCCAATAAAGCTCCTGTCAGTCAAAATGCATACATCCACCCCCATGCTGCATTCACTCCGTGCACCTACATGCAGTATCATCAATCTCATATTCACAATTAGCTAAATATGCTTGCTTATAAAGTTTTGTGTCTGTATATTTTCTAATAATGGACTTTTTTTAACTTTAGTTATTTTTCTTTTCAAGCAGTATTATGTTATACATGACCTTTTGAGAGACATAGCTTTTATAATTACTATGGTGTTGTCAAGATTCACTTGTGTGGATGAAAGTGTCTGCAGCTCATTTATTTTTACAACTATATAATATTTCCTTGTATTGATGTACTGATATCCATTCATCAGTTTCTGCATGGATGGGCCCATAGGTTGCTTTAAGTTTATTTTTATGAATACCAATGATATAAACATATTTTATGTATAGAAGAATTTTTTGTGGATATATAACTATGAATGCTTAGGTTGCAGGAATGTCTACATTTTTATTTGAAATTATCATAAAAATAGAGATATATCAATACTAACAATTACTAATATCAGCCTTTTTATTTGTTAACCCAATGGAAATCAATGATACGTCATTAAAGCCTTGATATGCTTTTCCCTGATTATAATTCAATTCAGTTATTTTTTCATAAGTTTATTTGCTATATGGGCTGCTCTTTCTATTAAGTATCCACTCAGCTTTATTTTTTTTCATTTTTTCTATTGGGTTATATATGTTTTTTATATTAATAATAGGAAAACTATATATATAATTAATGTATATAACCATTATTTATATATATTTGGTAACCATTTGTCAGCTATGTGTTCTTTGAATATCTTCCACAATTTGTCACTTCTCTTCTCTTAAGGGTATATATGGGTTTTGGTTTTTTTGGCGGGGGAGTACCAGGGATTGAACTCAAGACTGAGCTAAATCCCTGGCCCTTAAAGGTATATTTAAATGAATCAACTTTTTCAATTTCACTATAGCAAAAATAATATTTTCTTTTATGGACAATATGCTCTGTGTTTTGCTTAGAACTTTTCCTTATTCCAAGATCTTACAGATACTTAATTTTTTCCTGCTAACATTTATGTTGTTTTTGATATTTGAGTATGTAATACATTCAAAGTTTGTATTGGCTAGTGATAAATGTTAGCATTGTACTTTTTCACATGGAATACTATTTTATTCTCAGTTTCATTAATTGTACAGCCCCTTTCCCACTGATCTGCAGTACCTAATCTGTGATATACTGCATAGTGCACATGCGTGCAAACATGTATATCTAAAATCTAACTCTTTCTTTGGACCAATTTCTCTGTTGTGCCTCTTTGTGTTAATACTACAATCTTAATCTAAATTTTAAGATGTGACTTAAGTAGTCACATCTTCACTTTGTATTGTCTCCTTTAGAAGTATCTTGGGAAATACTTCTGGAATCTTTGCTATTCCCTAAAAGTTTTAGTATTTTGTTCTTTAGTTGTTTGCACAGTTGTGAAGACCTCAACTAAATGCCACATACTTGGTGAAGTTTTATCTAATATCCTGGATCAAGCTTGGTCTATTTAACATAGCCTCCATCCCGATCCTAGTATCTATTATGTTTTATAATCATTTCTAACTTTATTTTTTGATTAAATGTATATATTTTACTTGAATATCTATTAACAATGAATATCGTATATAATGATGCTCCCATAAGATTATATCACTAAATAAGGCCATATGAGTTTAAGTTTGTGTAACCATGCTCTATCATATCTAACACAATGATAAAACAGCCTAACAGAACATTTTCCAGAACACAGCCCCGTCATTATGATATATGAGTGTGTATGCAGTTGGCGAGAGAGAGGGAGAGACAGAGAGAGAAATTTTGTTATTGACAATAAATAAACTATTACAGGCAGGAACTTAGTTCACTTATATCCCAAAGAGCACAAACCTCAGAGACCTCAGGTATTTATATCCCCCAGGCTTAACACATGGTAAATACTTGGAAAATAAATGAATGAAAAATATCTCAAAAATTAAATTCATAGTATATGGTAATATTGGGTACTGAAAAAATTTATTAGGTTTACAAATGTAAAGAATCTTAGAAACCAGTTAACCCAAACCAGAAAGATCATACCTTTTTAAATCAAAAGCCAGTTTTTTGCAGATTTAGAAAAAATGTCAGTCAAGTATAGTTTCTACAATATCATCTGCTTGTAAATAAAATTTTAAATATATACCACAAATTCCTAAAGCACCCTTCTAAAATAAAAAAAATTTAAATCCTCAAGTATATTTTCTATTTTATAAGGCTAATAATAGTAACGTACAAAATTAAAGTGCAAAGAACTGATTCTGTGCCTCCCCCAAATTCATTTGCTGAAGTCCTAACCCCCACAGGAAGTAGAGATTTGAGAGGTGATTAGGTCATGAAGGTAGAATCCTCATGAATAGGATTGATATCTTTATAATAATTCCACAAAGCGGTGGCCTCAACTACTCAACCCTGTGAAGTTAGTAAGAAGATAGATTTTTATGGGGAATGGGCTCTTCCCAGACACTGCATCTGTCTGTGCTTTCATCTTGGACATCCTAGCATTCAAGACTGTGAAAAATAGACTTGTTTTAAATAAACCAACCAGTGGATAGTATTTCATTATAGCTGTATATATGGACTAAGACAACAAGTCTTACAAATAAAGATAAAACAGTTTAATTTTACAATTTAAGTATAAGGAAAACTATTTTAGTCTTGCATCATTAAATTTCACATTTTGAGATTTAAGGTTGAGAATTATGGACTCAAATCAGCAAAACTGGACTATTCTGGAAAAGGCTGTTACAGTTTTGCTGATTCAGATTATAATTTTTTTGTGACCAGTCTAGATGTCTCTGTTCAACAAATGACAAAGTGGTCATTCCAAACAAATGTGATACATCAAAACACATTTCCACATTCAGCCAAGCAGCAGCTCAACTGACTCCAGCAAAGAAGCAGAGAAGGGTAATTTATTCTGGGGTTTGAACTAATCAGCAAATAAATCCTGTGTTCATTTATCAAAAACTATGGAATTCATAAAGTTCTCCTCTCTGAACAATTGTAGAATAAAGGCATCAAAATGCATGTAAACTATCTAAATGGATCTGGACTCCATCGCTTTCCAAGTACTTTATCTCAGTGCAAGGGTCAGACATATTTTGAAATGAGAAAGATTTTTAGAATTTCTCCAACTGAGCAAGAATATTTTTGAAAATCCAAGTTATTAAAAGCAAAAATCAAATTTTTGAAATTCTCTCTTTTGTTTTCCCTAAGTCTCATATAATTGGCTAGCATCAATGAAATCCTACATATTAGAGCAGAGGTGGTGAACCTATGGCATGCTGCTATAGTGGGCTGTCTGTATCTTTGAAAGCTCTAGAAGATTCACCATCACTGTATTGTTCTGACTAATAAATAACTTCAAAGTTATCTATCACATTAAAAGTCTATTAAACTCATTAAATAAATGAAATCTCAATTTGGCAATTTAGATTCACTTTTCCAAACACTTCAAACACTTCCACTGCAGCTCAATTACAGTTTATCTTTTTTCGTATTTATGCAGAAAATTTTATTAAGCAGAAAATTCTTATTAGTTCAATGAGAATAAAACTAATCTTCAGCATCCTTAAGTGTATTAGAAATACTCATTTATAAGGAATATTCAGAAACATAAATATATTTATAGATATTAAAAGTCAACAAAAAGGAAAGCATAAAGAAAAATTTTGAAATCATTTGCAGAAAATGAATCTATATGTCTTTACTTGATAAATCATTTGTACCAATTTCATGTTTCTCTAGAAATAATTGTTATCATTGAAAGGGTTCCTTTAAAAAGAACTGAGCTAAAGTGACTTCATAATATACCTGAAATTATCTTCTGCTCTTAACATAGTGCTAGCAATCTACTGGCCCACAAGTTGAACCTGGTCATGAATCCGCTTTAAGAACTGTTAATTAAGTCATTTTGGGAATCTTTATGAGTATCATATGCTAATCGGTTTGCTAAATCCCCACTAGTTCCCAATTAGTAGTTTTTCCCTTTCATGTTATGTGTTTGGTCTCAAAACAATTTTAGCTTTTAGCAAGCCAAATTTTAAGTACTGTCCAATCCGATGTACATAGGGGACAAGAAAAGAATTAAGATATGTTACGTACATGCACCACCTCTGCACAAGAAATGTACTCAATATGCATTTCAAACATGTATTAATAAAAATAAATTTTAAAGAATCTGTTCATTTTATGCAGTATCAGAACATTAGAATTATTAGAACTGGAAGTATCTTAGAGGTTAGGTAATTTCTCCTAACAGACACCTAAGGCCAAGAAAAGTAAAGTAGCTTCTCCATGGTTACATGTATATTAACAGTTCTGCCGAAATGCTCATCTAATGCAATAAGGAAAAAATATTCTTATTTTGAGGTTTCATGTTTTGTCAAGCTTCTCTACTTGCTTCCTAAGTACTTACCCCTCAGTGCGGGTAGCAGTGATCGCTCTTTTTTGTCATCACACTTGTTACATTCACTGAAGTACAGGAGTAGGAAGACATCAACAAGAACCCACATCAGTGAAGTGGCCAGAACCACCTTGCAGTAAACAAATCTCCTCATGTCTTTTCTCGATTTCTAGTTAACACACAAATCGAAGATAAATGCTACTGTGATAAATCCAAGCCACAGAGGTGAACTCCAAGATAAAAGCAGGATGCATCCCACTGTATTAAAAAAAAACAAAGAAATGTTAATGTGCATGACTTTGTTGACTGTTAGGTTGGCTAAATAACTGCTTGCTTTGTTTGCATACAGGAAATACAACACAAAACACATGATATTTCATTTACCCAAATATGACAGCATTCAGATTTTCAAATCCAAAATGAAAAGCTCAAATGAAAATTGTTATCAAGACGGGGAGTAAAATTCTATCACTTGATACTAAATAAGTTTCTACTCTGCTAGGCTCTTGACCAGCTATTTCATTTCTTCAAATTTTATTGTCTTTACCTTAAATTCTATCATGAGATTCTACATAACACTATGTTGTAGAATACCATAGTTCTGAATTTATCCTGATAGAATTCTTCTGGCTAGCCAATATTACAGAAAGAGAAATCATTCTGGAATACAATTTACTAATGTGGTTAAGACCTGGCCTTTACAGACAGCCAAGTGTAGGCCTCTTCACCACCTAGCACTGAGAGACTTCATAAGCCTCAATTTTCTTATCTCTGAAATGAAGATAACAATATCGTCAAACCTAACAATTTGCTCTGAAAATTAAATATGATCATGTTTATAAAGCATCTTACAGAACGGATTAAGTATAAAACAAAAAATGATTCTGATTCTTAAATAGAGGAGTTTCAATAAATAAATCAATATTTATTCAGCTTTAAAAGCCCATCTAGTCTACACAGAAAGAATCCATACCAGATGTGTGTTTTAGACTATATACCATGTATTCAACAATTTATCAGAGGGGAAACAATAATAAAATGCATGACTTAAGTAACCTAAGTAAGAATTCTATACAGCATAACAAACATATGTACACAATTCTCCAGAGATATCCAAAGTAAATTCAGAATTAATATCATGCACATGTCCTTATTTATAATACTTTGACCAATAACTACATGGTTAACTATCTCCTATGGATGCAGTAAATAAATCAGACTATAAATAATTTAATACAATTTGATACATTTAAAATACTATCAACTAAGGTACAAAAAATTTATCTAAATAAGTGTCATTGTTTTAACAGAGGTATTTGGCTTGAAGAGTATTAAATACAAAGACACTTGAAATATTTCATAAATATTTGTATCAAAATAAAATATAAAGTATAATTTGCTAAGGCAAAAGCTCTTTAATGCTAGCTGATTGGTATCATAATGCAGCAGAAATGTTGCCTGTTGTAACTGTTATCCTTCATATTAAGAATGTCCCCCAAAGGACTCATGCAGTGGGGCTTATAGAGAACTGGACCAAAGGGACACTACAGCTGATTTTCCATTAGCACATTAGCAGGTGGGGTCTGGTCAGAAGAGGAAGGCCACTGGGGGCATGACCTGGGAAGCATATCTCCCTTTCTGGCTTCTCCCTTCTCATTCCACTTCTTGGGTTCATGACATAAGCAGGTTTCCTAAATACAGGCCCATCTACCATGCTGAATCTATGTTTAAGCCTCCCTAACATAGATTAAAACTTCTCAAACTGTGAACTATAAACTTCTGTGAACTATAAACTTCTCCTCCTTTGAGTTGCAAGTATCAGGTATTGTGTTTCAGTGAAGAGGAAAATAACTAAGATTTTGCTACCAGGAGAGATGCCATCACTATGAGTGTAATTGACCATATAGTTTAGAAAGAAGCCTTTTGGAACTGGTTTGAAGGAGGAGTTTGGAGAAATTTGAAGGTGCCAGCTACAGAAGCTTAGAATGCTGTAAGCTGAGCTTGATGGGAAATTTTGGTTGGTGCTCAACAGACTAAAATGCTGATAAAAATCCAGACAGTAAAAGCCAGGCTCAGGTTATATTTAGGAAAAAGAACTCCATTGACACTTGGACTTGAGAAAATGTATGTTATGCTCTTGCAGGAAATGTGTCTACATTTTGTTCATGTCTTGAGGCTTTGTAGAAGACTGTAAAGACATTGAACTTATAAACTGATAGAGAAAATTTCCAGGCAGCTCAATGTTGAGGCTGTGGCACAGGTATAGCTGGCAGATTTTAGTCAGATCTGTATTGAGAATCAAAAGCAAATATAACAGATGAGTGATTTTTAATTTTTTCAGGTTTACCAGAAAAGAAGTTACTATACAGTTGGGACCTGAAAAATTTTGGCAGAGGAAAACTTGGTCACTGAGAATATTAGCATTAAAAAGAAGCAAAGTAGTTAACATCAAAACAGTAGGAAGGATGCTTTGAGTACATCCCTAGAATCTACCAGATCCCATCCTTCCCAGACTATAAGGTGCAAAAGTGAAAGACTGGAGCACCTGGAAGGAAGCTGCCCCACTGCCATCCCAAGCTCCTATTGCAGAGAAGGTGAGCTGGTCCCAGCACCCAGAAGGAAGCTCCCTCGCTGCCATCCCAAGCTCCTAAGGCAGAGAAGGTGAGCAGCGCAGACACCAGAAGCTCCCCCACACCGCACAGTGGAAATGAGAAGACACATAAACAAGCCTCAAAAACACACTTCTGGATCACCCACAGCAACCCCAAAGGAAAACAATATGGAACAATCTGATACTCAACCACCTGGACTCTCTGAACTGGCAACAAAAGAGGATCTGGAAAAATGAAATCAGAAATAATTACTCAGATAACAG